CTTCCCCAAAAGACCCCCAGCCTGCTCATCTGAGAACCAGATAAGGTGCTACTGAGAAACACCTGTGAAAGAGAGCTAACCCCCCTGCTGTGCATAATGGGCTGATACCCCTAAATTCTAATAGTTTCTCTGGGATTTCTGCAAATGACTAACAATAGGAGTATTTCTGAATTGGTAGGTAGATGGGGTCCCAGGATGAGACAGAACTTAAATTCTAGAATTTCTAGACTCTATCTGTGGTGAATTTGGCTTCCAGGACCCCCCCGGGAGAGTCTCAGAGGTACAGTGGGCTAATGGGCTGGAGCTTTCGTGGGTCCTGCTGCATCTTACTTGGTGTCCAGTCCTGTGAACATGATGGGTTCATGATCACTGGGAAATACCTTAACCTGGGGCGGGGAGCCTGTGCAGCTGGAGCAGAGCAGACCCACCACTTAGCTTGTGCTCTGTGGATGCAGTAAACGGGGCTTCTGGTGTCCCTCTGAGTTCCTGTGGTCTAAACAGAGATAGACAGCGACTTTTTTTTTTTTTTAAATAGAAAACAAGGTGTTTTGAGGAATAGTATCATCAAATATCTTGGATACAGACGGTCCCTATAGAGGACCTGGGCCTGAGTGTCTGTTGCAGATATTTGATCGCACCAAGAAACTACAAGACTGTTAATAAAATTAACTTTGGATCAGGGAGAGGAACCAGGGACCCATTGACAGGAATTAGCCATAGAGAATATGGAGGAGCCAGGGATACGCATAGAAAGACACACCGGGAAGCGTTGGGAGGGACTTAGACATTTGCTGTCATTTTTGGTTTGGGATGGAAGGAGAGGCGACCTCTTGCTGGATCTCTAGCCAGAAGGGAAGGTCAGCTGGTGGGCGTTTCTCAGCTTCTCTGATCTAGCAGGTTTTTACCCCAGTATCTGACTCCCGGCTCTTCTTGGTAAATAGAACAACTTATATAAAAACAAGTGTCTATAGGAAGGGATGGATAAAAGGGGGCGACACTGCCCGAAGAAAGACCAGTGAAACCAGGAGCTGGCAGGGCGCTGAGCCACGGGCAAGGGCAAAAGCCCCACTGCTTCTTCGGGTCTCTCCCCACTGCAGACATCACTAGATGATCCCAAATGGACCAGGAAACAACTCTTTCCTCCTTCATTTCATTGTAGATGGGACAGACTGGTCCAAGATTCCTCCCAAGTGACCACTCAGCTGCTTTTTCAAACACTGGGCAGAATTAGACTTTTAGATATTTAATTTTTTTAAAAAAAGAAACCTGATTTTCTTTTGTCAGGAAGCATGGCTCAAGTATCTCCCTGGAATGTTTTTCTTGGAGGAGATGGTGGGAGGATTCCGATCCTCCTCACAGAGCCTTCTTATTAGAGGAGCCTAAAGAAACACAGAGGGTGTTAGGTGTCTGCCTCCATTTGCAGGCATACGCTAACTTAATTGTGGCTACAGGCTTCCAAGCAGTTGGTCACCCCAAGTGTAGCTAGGGAGGGTCACCTCTTCCATCATGGGCGCTCGTTGCTACACACCCAAGACTTAAAAACTCTAAAGAAAGCTTGTCACTGGGTATGGTGGTACACACCTTTAATCCCAGCATTCAGGAGTCAGAAGCAGGTGGATCTCTGTAAGTTCAAGACCAGCCTGGTTTACAAAGGGAGTTTCAGAACAGTCAGGGCTGTTACACAGAGAAAACCCTGTTTTGAATCCCCCTCCTCCCAAACAAACAGACAAAAACTTGTCAGTCCCTGTTCTCAATGCATGATCCAGTAGATGATGAGGCTCCTCTGGACAAATCTGTAGTGTTAAAAGGAGCCTGCCTGGTGTCTTGGGTCCAGCCAGTAGTCACTGGACTCAGTGGCAAAGCTCCTGTTCAGTGGGTTCAGGTTTACAGATGGACAAACTAAACTCCCTTTGTGAAAACTACCATGTGTTGTTTCAGCTCACTGACTAGCTATTTCTGGAGATGGGATTTGGCCCTCCCACTTCAAACCCAATCCTGTTGGTTTCCAAATGGTCTCCAAAACCTCCTTCCTGAGTTAGGCTAGCTCCTGATTCTGGAACAGGGAGAAGAATGAGGAAATAGTCAAAGAATAAGGACATGGTGGCTGTTACTTATCTTGTAATATAAAGAAAAGCAGGTAATGGGGGGGAGGGGCGAATCCTAGCACCAGACTTTTCGACATCCATTCATAACCAAAAGCAAGATAGCTTACTCCATGTTCTATGTTTTCTATAAGGTTTATCCAGGAACTTACTGAGCCCCATCATTGAACAGTATGTACCCAGTAGTATTAATTTATTATGTGTGTAGTTTGGATTCAACATTCTTTTATTAAGGTGGCATTACATAGCACTGTCTTCCAGGCAAACAAGTGTCATGACATTAGCTGTACCCACATGCAAAAGATTGTCATAGTAAGGCTTGTTGATTGTTGATGTCTCCCACAGTGTTTGGATGTTTTTCAAGAATGAAAAAGCCAGAAAACTTCAGCAAGTTACATATATCTGAGCTAATTCTTTAAGAAGCCATCTGGGGTGATTCCAGCCACTCCCTGCCAATCTTGAGTCACATACTACAATCCCCTGGACTGGCCCCAGGAGCCTGCCTCATAAGAGTCCCTTCTCTCTTGGACCTAGACTCTGTCCCTTCTCAGCATGAAGCAGCTACGACTGTCATTGCCCCTTTCCCCCCACAGTTGTGGTGTCTACCTCTGGGGAGGCCCAGGGGACTCAAGGCAAGTTAGAGGGACAGAGACAGGTAAAGCAAAACCCTGAGGTAGTGGCTTCTTTTTTCCCAGAAGACATAAGGAGGACTAACAGTAGGAAAGCACCAGGTAGGTATCCAAACAGCCCACAGGGGAAAGGGAAGGACCTAGAGGCCAGTTAAAATACCAGAACACCAGGAAGATTCCATTTCCACAGTCCCAGGCTTAGGGCTCCTCCCATCCCAAAGGGATAAAGCTGTTACTTTGTTACTTGCTGTTCTTTGGCTGTCTTTCCCAGATATTTAGTCCTTTGTTGGTCCCAGCAACCCCCAGGATCAGCAACAAGGTTGCCAAGTGATTTTTTTAAAGTAACATTTCCACTTCTGAATTATAATGTGGCACAGTAGATTGTCTTAGCCTGTCGTGTCTAAAGGCTTAGTTGGCAAATTCTCCCTCTTGGTCCTGAGAGATCATGATAACTGTCTCTTCCCCCACCACAAGCATCTTCTCTGTCACACCTTGGTGTCACAAATAGCTCACGGTTTGAATTCTCTACCAAAGGGTTGTCTTTCTCCCTATGGTTTCCCTCAGAACCTTGGAGGCCACTTCCATCCTCCCTGAGGACTGATGTCACACCTTTATTGGAGCTGTGGGGGCCTGACCATGTCTGCAGTGTCCTCATGAGGCTGTTGAATACACCCTGAAAGAGTCTGTCCCAGTGTGAGTTCCTCAAGACCACATTTATGTCCTAGTGCTAGGGACTGGCTGAGGGGGCATCACAGGGCAATGAAGCACAGGGAATTAGGACAGGGCAGCCAAGCCGGGTGATGGTGGCACACACCTTTTATCCCAGCACTCAGGAGGCAGAGGCAGGAGGATCTCTGTGAGTTCAAGCCTGATCTACAAGAGCTAGTTCTGGGACAGGCTCCAAAGTGACAAGAGAAACCCTATCTTGAAAAGCAAAACCAAAAAAAAAAAAAAAGAGGCAACTGGATAACAAAGCTCATGGGCTCATGGGCTTTTGCTATGTGCAGCACTAAAAGGGCTGGGAATGATGCTGAATGTTAGAGCTGTATGAGTAAGTAACTACCAGACCCCATTGCTAAAAATGAAGCAGCATGTCCTTATCCCAGCCTGCAGCTTCCCAACTCAACAGCTGCCTCAGAGCATTTGGGGCTGGGGGCAGGGGTTCCAGTTCTTTGAGAAACCAGTTTCCATAGCCTGCCTCCTACCCACAGCAGCTCACTTAGAAGTTACAGGCCCTCCAACAACCCAGCATGCTGGGATCACACCCTCAGAGGATGGGTGGAACCCTGGAAAGAGCTCCAAGGTCAGGGGCCTGGAAAAGGGAGACCAGGGGAGGGACTGTTTAGCAGTGGAGACAAGCAGTGTGTGGTGACCACATGTGACTAAAGGCTTATTGGAAAGAGGCAGGAGTGAAGTCTGTTCTGGGCATGGACTGTGCTGATTAAGCCAAGAATCCACCAGTCCCCAGGAAGATGCACATCATGGGAATGTCTGAAGGGAATGCAGGGATCTTGGGGTGGGGGGAGGCTGTCTAGAAAAGGGGCAGCATGAAGCCTCTTCTCTGCTTTTTTGGGATAGGAGGGACTCTCTACCAATGATCAGCCATGGCCATGGCGGGAGCCTTGGGGTGGCAAGGAGGCTTGGTCTCCCAGCATCCTCTGAGCTGTGGGTGGGACAAAGGACTGCAATGGATGAAATCATTCTCAGATTGCCACAGCAGCTGCCTCATTAGCTGCATGGGTTTGTCCTCCCTTTAAAAGGTTGGGCTGGGAGGGAGACACAGGCATCAAACTGGTGCTGGACCTGGGATGGGTACTCTGTAAGAGCGCAAGCATCCTCAGATCCAGGTCAGAGCAGACCAGGCAGAAGCAGAGAGAAGTTAACTTTTCTTGAGGCTGGTCATTTCGGAGCCACAGCAGTCACATTCCAGGATAGTCTCTATCAGGAATATCTGAACTGAACAGACCAATAGGAAGACTCTGTTCTATAGGACACAGTGATTAGATGAGATCATGCTAGGGGCCACCTGCCCTGTCCACCTATCAGAAGGCAACCACTGTGGTCAGGCCTTTCCCCCTTGGGACCCTTCTGGGCTCTATGGGATGCTGAGAGTTACCTCTGGCTTCTGTGTCAGGATTGTAACAAGCCCCAAGGGTGACTGCCCATGTCCCCTGAGGAACAGAGCCACCTGTAGTGGTAGCCTTGCAAGAGCAACAGCTGGGCTAATAGAGCCAGGCTTTCCACATGACAAGCCACCAGACACAAGGCAGAAAACACATCTTGTATTTATTCCCTTGTCAGAGTTCTGGAAATCACTATGAGAATATTGAAAGCCAGTCCCGCCTACAACCCAGATAAAGAATGCCGGCAAGGTTCTGGGCTGAAGGAGGCAGAAGGTACAGGGCAGGTCTTATGAATGCTGATGTGTTGTGGGACACACACACACACACACACACACACACACACACACACGCCCAGGGGTCCATGGGAAAGTGGGGACCTGCTGGGATCAGCAGGCGATGACTGTAGAGCAAGCAGCCCAAGGTCTAAGCAGAGGCCATAGAGACGAAGTTGGTGAGGGTTCCCACTGCCTCCAAAAGTGGTGGGAACAGAGCTTGTGGTGTGCTGAGGCAGCTGGGCAGCAGGGTTGACCACTTTCTGACAGAAAGTAGTAGACTGGTCTTTCTGCTGGGCTGTCACAAACCCACCCCCACAAGACCCCTGGGGCATGGCTGTGTCCTGGAACTTGGATAGGCACTGCACCCCAGCTTCTTGCACCCCAGGGACTTCTTCATGCTTCCTTGCTGTAGCTGCCAACTCAAGACCCACAATGATGATTGCTATTTCACGAACACATAATGCTTTGCAGGAAGAAGTGGATGTCTATACCCATCCAATAAATAAGTCCATGTGAGGAGCCTGTGCAGAAAAGTAGCTAGGCCCTCATAATACTGATCCCCTTGAGCCTGACCCCAGGGTTCTCACTGCTTGACTCCTGCTCCGTCCAGGCCTGGGGTCTCACATCCGTCAGCAGTGAGCAGTGGGCATATAGCAAGCAGGCCCTTACTGCCCAGGACTTTCAGGCCTCTGGGGAGGGAGGAGAGGGTGTTTGCCCACCAGTAGGGTCAGATGCTGTGTCCCATTGGGGAATCCGTGCCCCTACTGCATCTCCCTGGAGTTGGTACACACCTAGGTTACACAGCAGCCAACTTTGCAGAACAATCTAGAGCCAAACTGGCTAGCTCTGTTCTAGCCAATAACATAGAGACTCTAGAGGCTGTGGCCACCTGGTGGGCCTGGTGGCTCCAAGAATGGCAGGTCTTCATATAGGTCTTCATGGGCTGCTGAGACCCAGTTAGTAAAGCTGTTCTCTCCCAGCTTTGTGTTCAGTCTGAAAGAGAAGCATTCCTGCTTCTGTATCCACAGGCTAGTCAGGCACGAGGGCCTTCAGTGATGAGTGAGCAGCATCCATGTGTGGCACATGTCTTGCTTTGAGGCATGTCCCTTTGCTGTTGCAAAGCCAAGGACCCCAAACCTCTGAGCCCAGCCCTTATCACCAACAGCAGGTTCTCTGGAGACAAAAACCCCACGCATCCTTTAGGAGGCCCAAGTAGGTTGAGACCAAAATAAATACAGTCTGGCTTTCTCCCCTCCTGAAAGTCCTGTAGGGAAATGGTCTCTCTCCTGAAAGTCCTGTAGGGAAACGGTCTCCAGTGGATTTTGTAGGTGCTTTCACAGTGGCTCAAATGCCCTTTTCCTAAGAACCAGAGGCTGAGTCACGTGCTCTGGAGCTCCAGCTGGGGAAAGACCTCCCCACAAGTGCCGCCTCTCTGTGCTGATGGCTGGGTGGGAGCCACTCACTGGGGGCTCTGTATTCTGATATTGCTGCTGCCCACTGAAAAGGTCTCCCTTGAGGTTTCTGGGATTAATCCTCTATGCCTCTCAAGGCCAGGGACTCCTGTCCCCTATCACAGCACTTAAGCAGACAGCTCATTGTCCGCTTCTGCGGTGGCCTGTGTGAGTTGGTTCTGAAGCTGTATCCAACATCCACCGGGTGGCGTCTCACAGAAGCCCAGTCCACATAGAGGGCAGAGTCCTGTCAGGCATGGTCTTGGAAGGAAGAAGAGAGAGGAAGGTGAAAGCAGGCCACACCTCTTTATGCTTGCCCAGCAAGCCATCCTCAGTGTTTTAATTTCGGAGACAATGAAATGATTCTTTCCAGGACTCAGACTGGTGAAGGGAAAGGGGCTACAAACTAGAAGAGTCACATGATTGGGTTAGGACCAAGTGGCCCGACACTAGCTTGTCCAGCCTGGAGTGGAATGTATCATCCATCCAAGCCTGCTCACCTAGCAAACAGGCTCTGCTACTGCACTAAAGGGACCACAAACCCTGGCCCACCCCCTTAAGAGGGAAAAGCTAAGTTTAGGGAGGTGCAGTCACTGAGGTGGCAAAGGCGCTTAGAGTTAGAGATATCTTCTGGTGGTCAACATCATATGGATGTCTTTTCAATACTGGGAGATGAATCCACACCTCTGGAGATATGAAAGGTCCAACTGCCACTGTGCAGGCACACCTCTACCAAGAGAGACTGAGCCGCTAGTCACAGAGTCAATGGGTCCAACAGAGCAGAGGCAAGAGGGGCCTAGGGACCTTTGCCAGGGCTCTCTGTTGTGCAGGATCCAGAAGTTTGCAGGGTTTCTACATCTATGAATCATCAGGTATTTAAACTATCAACTGAAGGTGTGAAAGGCCCCCACAAGGCACACTCACCTATGGGTTCCTGCTCTACAGTCCGGGGACCTGTGGGTCAAAGCAGACAGGTTCAGGCTTTGTGGGAAGGTAGGCTCACAAAAACATCACCTCGTCTGTCCACCCTGCCCACCAAGACTTCTGCTCCAGGCAGGAAAGGGCTCCCACTGGGATTCCCCGGACAACCTTGCCTTTAAGAGAAGATGGATTTTAAGGAGCAAGTGTGCAAACATTTAAGTCACTTTGTGTCAGGGCTGGAGAGGTGGCTCAGTGGTTAAGAGCACTTGCTGCTCTTGCAGAGGACCTGGGTTCAGTTCCTGACACCCACAAGGGTGGCCCACAACCACTTATAACTTTAGATCCATGCTCTCTTCTGACCTGTATGGGCTTCTGCACACAAGTGGTACACATACATACACACATACAAGTAAAATTAGATTTATAGTGGTGCTTTGTGTCCCCAGCTCAGGGGCCATGGCACAGCCTGACCAGATGAGTAGGGGGCTGTGAGCTGGGGAGAGCAATTCAGACATCACTAGTATTAGCCACATACTGGGAACACAAGGGTAGCTTGTAGGGAAGGGGAGGAGGGTTTGTCAGGGATGGAGCCAGGCTGTGAGCTGGCACAGGGCTCCATTTAGCTTCATCAACTTCCTGAGTCCTTCCAGCATTTCTAGACTTCCTTGCCATAGATTCTGCACTGTGGGCCATGTGCAGGACATGGTGACTTCACCACTTTCTGGGCCTGTCCTTGAGTACACAAAACTCCAGGCACATAGCCTTGCCCGTGCCTTAGAGCAGCATCAGTTGGCTTCCACAGAAATGAACTAAATCCAGTCTCTGGGAACTGAACTTGTATCCTTTAGGAGATAAGTATGAGAGTGAGCCTTTAAAGGCTGAGTGCTCTCCAGCTCATCCATCCCACCTCTGAATGTAGACTCCATCACGCCCTGGAGCCGGAATGTGAGCTTCTTGCCACTAGTATGGCTCTATTGGAAACAGAGGGCCTAAGCCTCTTCTGAGGAGGCTTCAGGCTCTTGCTAAGCATGCCTATGCTTTTAAGGGCAAATCTTAAATAAAATCTCAGAGTGTAGAAAGCTGTAAAAGCCAAAGCATTCATAGCAACAGTGTAAACAGTCAACGAGTCTCGTGCAAACCTGTATACTGTCTGCAGGAACACCTGCTTCTGCAAACCCAGGTGAAAATGATACCCACTACCACCAGTAGTAGTAGGATAGCAAGGATGATGAAAATGGCCACATTTTTCTTCTGGCTGTGGTTTTCTTGTGGATCCTTTGTGATCTTATCATTGTTTCCAGTGTAATTTTCTGCAAGAAAGCAGAAATGGGCTGGGGATGTGGCTCAATGGGTACAGTGCTTGCTTAGCATACATTAAGCCCTGGGTTCAATCCCAGTACCACATAAATAGGATGTGGCAGAGCACACCTGTAATCCCAGCACTCCAGAGGCGGAGGAAGAGGACCATTTCAAGGTCACCTTGGCTACACAGTGAATTTGAGATCAGCCTAAGCTACATGAGACACTGTCTAAGGAAAAGAAATATGGCCAGATGGTGGTGGCTCACACCTTTAATCCCATCACCAGGAGGCAGGGGTCAGCCTGGCCTACAGAGCAAGTTCTAGGATGGCCAGAGCTACACAGAGAAACCCTGTTTCAAGCCTCCCTACTCCCCCACACACACACAAAAGAAAAAGGAAATGGGAAAATGCCCAAGACTTAAAGGACCTTGATGGGGAGGACTTTTCCATGGAAAGGAAGAGGCAGATTTTTAAAAACTTCACTGTCATCACGTTGTGAGTTTTAAAGCCTCAGGCTGGTATGGGGTGCTCTTTCAGGTGAGGGTCCCCATCCTACCATGAAACTCGAAGCTTCAGTCAGTTCCTGGGCTTGTAAGGAAGGGGTATGAAAGAAACTCAGTGTATGGGAGTTTGTTTCCACCAATAGTTTCAGAGTCTTAGGGCATGGCTTTGGACGTGATCCCTTATTAGAAGAAGGATACTCATGAGCTCTCTCTCTCTCTCTCTCTCAGGGTGACAAGTTGAGAGCTGACCATCATCCTGTATCACAGCATCCTGTGCCCCCCCCCCCCAAGCAGTGGCACGTGAGTGTTCCCTAATTTAAATATTTGTTAATCTTTTACTCAGGCATTCCTGGACTTCCTTAATCCACCCTTCATGTCAGGCTCTCATGGGGGTGAATCTCTTTGATGTTTATACAATACACAAGTACTCACTGTGACAGTTCAGTAGCACTGAGTATGCCAATACAGTGCCATCACTGACCCCAAAGAAGGCAGCCCCTCCTCACCCCACTGTACCCAGTTTCTGGCCTCTTCTCACCTGCATTCTCCCTCTGTGGACCACCTATTTGGGACTCTTCTTATGAATAGAATCGTGATTCTGATATCTGGGGACTGGCTGGATTCCTCACCTGGACTGGGATGGCTATGGCCTTTGGGGAGGGTCATGTCTTTGTGGTCCATAGAGGATCCAGCCAGCAGCCTAAGCCCAGCTGAATGCCCTGGAAGGGCACATGTTCAAAGGAAGAGAATGTGGGGGAGTGCCCTCCATCCTGGTCTGTTGTGCCTATTGAGATGCACCAGGCCCTACAGAGCCCTAGTCCTCCCTGGTTAAAGAGCCCAAGAAACAGCTACTACAGATGGTAGCCATGCTAATCATTTACCTGGACAGTGAGTAAAGGTTACTGTGACAGGCCTGAGCAGGACTCTCTATCCTCGCCTTCAGAAACCAAGAGCCCCTCATGGCTACTTTCTGTAGGGAGTCTATGCATAAATAGGCCTCTCCTATCACACAACCTAGTTGCCCCCAGAGTCTGTGCCGCCTGGCCTGGGCCTCACCTGCCTGGCTGATGCTGGTGAGGTTCTGATGGAGGACCACATTCTCTATAGAACAACTAACGTTCACATGGGCCGCCCATGGTGCCCATGGGATCCGCAAGGTGCTGACCACATCATACAGGCCCCGCTCGTTCAAGTAGACAGTATTATTCTGCAGACTCTCGGCTATCAGGCTGTTGTCTGTCCTGTTGATCCAGTACAGGTTGGGCCTGGGGTAGCCATTTGTGGACATGCAGGTGAAGGTGAGTTCTTGGCTTGAGATGGGGCTACCAGAGGTACTGATGACAGGTGTGCTGAAATTCGCTGTAGGGAGAGGAGACAGTGGTGAGGCGGGCTCAGACCAGTGGGGAAGCCTGATCACAGCAAAGCCAAAGAACTTCATGCTGTTGGGCGGTGGTGGCACACACCTTTCATCCCAGCCCTTGGGAGGCAGAGATAGGTCTGGGTGAGTTCTAGGCCAGCCTACAGTCTACAGCCTACAGTCTACAGAGTGAGTTCCAGGACAACCAGGGCAGTTACACTGAGAAACCCTGTCTCAAAAACTGACCCTCACCCCCCCCCCCCGGAAAAAAAAAATAAGATTTGATCCCTTCTGTGGCCACCCAGACATACATGCTGACAAATACCCACATGCATAAATACTTTAAAACAAGAGAAGAGCTGATAGTCAGCCTGCCCTTTTCTCTGCACCCTGGTCTGCTGGGCACATGCTCCAGCTGTCACCAGCACTGCCCTGCTGCCATGCCTCTCCCTCCAGGATGGCCTGAAACCTGAAACTATGGGACATCTCTGTTTCTTTGTCATCAGTCTAATATCAAGTGTTTTGGTCATAAGAGTACAAAAAAGTAATTAGAGCAGCTAGCCATTGGGGGTGGGGTTAGGGGTGTGGAGAATGACACTGAGCTTGTGGGCGGTGATGTCTCCCACACCAAACTCCTGATCCCTCATGTGGGCCTAGTGATCCTCACTGTAGACATACTGCCTCCCCACCAAGGGCCCCCAAATCCTGGGTGGAGTAAGCTTCCCCTTATAGCTGTCCTCGTTTAGGTTTCCAACACTCCTTACTCCTTGTGTATACACGCATTTGAGAACAAGCTGGGGGGTGAGGGTGGCTGTGTGTACCCGTTTGTGTGAGTCTGCACCTGGAAGCCAGAGTAGAACCTCCATAGGAGCTGTCCACCTTGTTTTTTAGGGTCTTTTTTTTTTTTTTTTTTTTTTAAAGGAGGCAGAAGCTCTCATTGACCCAAAGCTCAGTGGGCAAGACTGGCTAGCCAGTAAGCCAAGAATTCACCTATCTCTGCCTTCCTAGTGCTAGAACCAAATAAATGCACGCGCCACTCTGCCTGACTTTATATGGGCACTGGATTGAAGTAAGTCCTCACATTTGTATGGTAAGCACTCCTACTGAATGAGTCGTCACCACCCCTCCACCCCCACCCCCGCCCATTAACTCAGTTTCTGGTGTCTACTTTGAGTTGAATTGAGCAGCTGCAGACAGAGATGGCTAGCTAGGCAGTTCTCAGAAATCAGAGGGTCTTGAGTTATGAACTCTGCTCAGAGAAGAGCTGCATAGGTAAAGAGGAGCCCACCACAAAGACAGGGATGTTCAGGAGCACCAGGCTGAATAAAGCCAGTCCTTGGGCTGGAGAGATGGCTCGGTGGTTAAAATATTGCCTCCTCTTCCAAAGGTCCTGAGTTTAATTCCCAGCAACCACATGGTGGTTCACAACCACCTAGAATGAGATCTGGTGCTATCTTCTGGCCTGCAGACACTTATACCTAATAAATAAATGTAAAGAAAAAGAAGCCAGTTCTCTGGAGGGTCTTACCTGCCACATGCAGCCTTATTGTCTCTTTTAAGACTTCACTTAAGTCTTCAGACTCAAATACCAGGCACGTGAACTCCTGGGAGTCCTGGGGGGTGACATTCTGCAGGGACAGAGAGAAGTTACCCTGCTTCATGCGCTCCAGTGACAGATGGGCCCGGTTCTTGTACTGGCTGTCCACATACAACTCTGTAGACCCATTAGGCAGGTGATAAGTCACCACAGTTTTTGAGCTCTCAATTTGCCAATAGACATACAGATCATTCAGGTTGAAATGGCTTTTGTGGGTGTCTGCACAGAGGAGCTCCACATCGCTGCCCACCATTGCATGGATTTCCTTGACTTCACTCTCTGCAGAGTCAGAAGTGGCACAATTTATTACTCAAGATCCAAACATTAAACCCATCCCAACCCACCAAGCCAAGGAAGGAATCTATCACTGAGGTTCATCAGGATGGTGGGTGAGAGTCTTGTAACAACCCAGGTGAGAGATACAAGCTTCTACCTAGTGCCAACATTGGTCCCTCCCTGACTTTGGCAGGGTCTGGCACCCCAGCTCTTCCCAAAGGTGGCTTTATGGTTCGCCATGCAGAGACCAGAAGGGACATTCTATTAACTCCAAGCAAGAAATCCAATGAGAAGTACAGAGTTTGGGAAAGCCCTTCCCTTTATGACCTCCAACCAACCCTGTATATATCAGCCTAGGTATGGTACCCCAGCTCTCTCCAGTGGGCCTCTGGAGAGTCCAGAGGGGCTATACCCAGGGCTTCTCTGATGCCCTGCATCTGTGCATTGCATGGCATGGAGCATCCCAACTTACCAGCGCACAAGCAGCTGATGAGCAGCAAGAGCAGACAAGGACTGGAAAAGAACCCTCCTGGGAGACAAATGAGATGATGCTTCCTCCAGACTTGCTGGCTGGCTCCCAAGGATGAGACATGGTGACACCTGTCAGAGATGTGAACTCGCCTATAGCAAGACCTTTGGCTGGTATTCCAGAGACCTCAGAGAATCCAACCAGGCCCATACACGTCCCTTCTCCCCACCCACGGCAAGTCCCCAGGGCCTGGCAGCCCCCAAACTCTGAAAGACAGTTGATTTGTGTGATAACAAGGGGCACTGAGCGCCACTGCTGAGGCTGGTGCCCCTTCCCTGTGACCTAACTTTCCTGAAGAGGGACACAAAACTGTAGGAAGCTGCATTTGAGGTGACAAGGACATGAAGACACCTGGTTGCCCAAGGGAGGCAGGCTCAGGTAAGTGACAGGGTCATCTGAAACCAAACTTGGTGGGGTCCCATGTTCCAGACCCTTCCTTGGTGGCTGGAATGCTTCTTCCAGACTCAGAAGAGTCAGGAGTCACTTTGTGTCCTGGGTACCTCAGCCTTGCCATCTCTTACAAGCCACACAGGAGGCCTTTCTGGTGTGGGGTATGGAGGTTGGGGGGGTAAGTGGTAGGGGAGTGAGTGGGGGGAGGGGCGGGCAATGAGGGGGTGGGAAACGAGGAGGCGCCTCACCCTACTCTAAAGCAGCCTTTGTACTTTAGCCAGTGCGTGCCCAGTCTCCCAAGACCACCTGTTCTATGCAGACTTTGGTATAAGACCCAGCAGTGGGCACATAGCTTTTCAGCTGACATCCGAAACCTCGCCCAGCCCCGCTAAACAGAAGTGCTGAAACTCTCAGAAGCTTGTCCAAGAGAAACCCTTGGTCAGGGGGCAAGCCATCATGCCTCAGGCTTAGGGATCTCACACCCAAACTTAAGCCAGCCACTGGCCATCAGTAACTCCATAGCCTGCAGGTGTTCCCCTTTTTTCTCCCTGAAGACTCTGTAGGTAGGACACCTATGGGCAGAGAGTCTCCCCAAGTAGCCAAGGGGGACAGGGTGTCCACTGCACAAGTGCCTGAGGGGACATTATAGCGAAAAGCTGGAGCGCAAAACTGTCACACACACAAACACACCCCTCCCACTTCCCCCTGGCCAGGCCGGATCTGTGGGATGCCAAGCCCTATCCCCAAGCAGTGGGTATCAACTGGTCTTTGAGGTAGCGCACATCCTTCCTTCTGGGAAGTCAGCTGGGAGAAGGGCGGCGGCGGGTAAGCCTGTGCCAGGGGCTGGTGTGAGACTTCACCTTCAGCCTCCGCTTCTGCCCTTCCTCCTCCCACGAGTTGCCTGCCCACACACCGGTCTGGTCGCTGGTGCAGCGGGTTGGCCGCGCGCCGCCCCCTGCTGTTCATGCTGTCAGGTCCAGGTGAGCCGGTGGGGAACAGGGGGCACCCGCCCGCTACTGGGCCACAGCCAGCGCTTCCTACCGTCGGGCGCTCTCGGCCTGGACTCAGCCAGGTGGGTCCCCGGCTCCAGCCCACGGCTCCCCCGCCCCATCCCACTCACGGGACGCGACCGCGAAGGGACTCACTTTCGCAGCATGGTGCGAGCGCAGAATCCGGGCTGCTGGACCTCGAGGCCCGTTGGGCTGCAGTTGCCGGAGTCCCAGAGTTCTCGGGGGACCACGGAGTTGGGGGCTGCTAGGACTTGGGGCGCAGAGATCTGAAGCTACGAGGACGGGCTGTAACTGCGCTGGCTAGCACAGCGCGCCTGGCCGGTAGGGTACAACCCAGATCCCCGCCCTCCGGCCCGTCCCTCCTGCCACAGCCTGGGGGCGGGAAGAGGCGAGAGCGGAAGGTCTCGCTCAGGCTCCAGAGAGCAGCCCAGTCTGATGCTGGGTAGGGACAGAGCCTGCTTGTCGGCGGGGTGGAATCATGGGCCTGAGTTACAGGTGCAAGGGTGTAGAGTAGTTTGTAGGTGGTGGAACGCAAAAGGCCGACCGGCAAAAGAAAACTGGGGCTGAGGGTGCGGGTGAGAAGGCATAGCACTCAGCCACTGGCCTCCAGCGTTGCCCAGAACATGCCAGGTCAGGCCGCTGTGTCCTTCCTCTAGAGCCCCGTGTGGGACCCTATCTTGCACAAGATGAACCTGGGTTCAGAGCCCGGACCTGGGGCTGGTCCAGCCCCATAGATGAGCAGAGAACCTAAAGATTAGGAATTAGTGAGAGTGAGTGGAAGGCAGGCAGGTGGGAGGGGAGTGGGGGCCAGCAGGAGGGAGGAAGGGAGGGGAAGCAGGGGATCCAGTCACCCAATCATTTCCCAATCTTGGAAGGTTTGGTGAGGCCGCACATTTGCACAGGAAGAAGCTGAGGAGCCTAAATAGGGATTTCGATTTTTTATCCTCCAAAACCAGCCAGACTTGGCAATCCTGTTTCCAACCTTGTGTTCCCTGGCACTCAATCCGGAAGTGGCCTAAAGGTTCACAGGTGCTAGGCCCTAGGCCGGAGTCTAAGGATTCCTACTGACTCCATCCCATGCTTTCTCCCGTCCCACCTGCCAATGAGTTGAGAATGTGGAGGCCAGGAGGGGCAAGTTCCCTCCCAACACACCCAATCCATGGAAGGGCCTGGGCAAGACTGATACAGAGGACCATACACATAATGCTGACCTCTTGGGGTTGACAGATATGTTTCTCACCAGGTGGGAGGGGTGTGTGCTGTCACAGTGGTACCTCACCAGGTGCTGATCTGGGAGGAGCAACAAATGATCTGACCCAAGTCCTAAGGTGCAGAGGGCATACTTCCCTGACCCTGTGCCTCTTGCAAGTATGTCACATGGTCAACAGTTTCAGGGAACGCTATCACAGTTCTGGGTGATACCCCAGATCACAGCGGGGGCTGGGGTGGGGTGGGGGTGGCGGCAGCAGCCCACACTGGGGAGTCAGCCTGGTCTACAGAGTGACTTCCAGGACAGCCTGGGCTACACAGAGAAACCTAGTCTGGAAAAACCAGAGGAAAAAAAGATGCCGACATCTTTGGCTCTTGGCAGTCAACATCAGGGAGCAGGCAGGCCAGGGCAAGCACAAGACAGCAGAAGAGGCGAAGGAGGCAGTAACCAGAGCTGAGGGAAGCAGCCTGGGAGGGGGTTGGGAGGCCCTCCTGCAGGGAGGGGCTGCCTTCTGCTTGTACTAGGAGAAACAGAAGTATCAGAACTTGACCACTGGGTTCTAGCAGAGATAATCCAGGGGTGAGCCAGGAGTCTTGCTTGGTACCACATTGGGTTGGTGGCCCAACTCACTAGGTTGGTAGCCACTGAGGAAGGACTCAGCAGGAAAACCTCTGTTGAGAAGTCACCCTTGTATCACTGGACAGATGAAGGAGATGGTTATTGCTGAGGTGGTAGCACCATGTCCTATGTTACAGGTGAAGAAGATGGGTATTGCTGGGCGGGGGTAGCACCATGTCCTATGTTACAGGTAAAGATGGGTATTGCTGAGGGGGATAACACCATGACCTATGTTCCAACTCCCTTGGCCTGGCCAAAGGGCCTCCTCAGTTGCACTCCACTCCAGAAATACAACCCACCACTAATCTCAAGACTCTCTCTGATTGGATAGACCTGACTTGGTATCAACCTCTGGCCCCATCATTGATGCCCAGGGGCCCAAACAGCACTCCCATTGGCTGACACTTAGGCCACTCCTTGCCCTGTGTCCATCTGGATGACCAACCCTTCCATACCCAACAGTTATTTCTGGCAGACAGTAGAGAACAATGATTGAAGGGGCTTTTATGGCAAAGCTGGACCACACTGTGGCTAGCAAGGTGGTAGCTCTTCAAAAACGAGTATGCCCCCCCCCACTCATCTGGAATCTTAGAAAGCCAAATGCCACTCTCTAGGCTGAGGGATTTTAGCACAGCAAGGAAAGGAAAGAACTGAACCTTGGCTAGAAGTGTGCCTAGAAGTGCACATTAGGCAGAGCTGGGCAGCTACAGGGGAGGGGCCCCGGGGAGAAGGGGACACCAAGGCAGGAGATGGTGGTAAGGGCACAGCTGGGCTTAAATCCCACTTTTGCTTCCTGGGAGCTGTGCACTATCAAGTAAGTTACTTAGCATGGGTGAAACGATGACACAAGCCTTTAAGACAGAGCTTCTCAATCTGTGGGTTGCCACCCACGTGGGATTGAATGACCTTTTCACAGGGGTCACCTGAGACCATCCCAAAACACTGGCTTTACAGTTCATAGTAGTAGCAAAATCACAGTTATGAAGTAGCAACACAAATAATTTTATGGTTGGGGGTCACCACAACAGAGGAACTGTTTTAAAGGGTTATAGTGTTACGAAGCTTGAGAACCACTGCTGGAAGATATTGAGTAGTTATCCTGAATTAATGCACACCCTGATGCTCATGGGTTGCAGAGACTTCTGCTTTGGTTTGGGTTTGAGAAAAGCTCATTTGGGGCTGGCCCCCAGTTCTCAATCTTCCTGCCTCTGCTCCCCTATGCTGGGGATTACAGGCATATATCATCAGGCTCACAAAATATTTTAAGACAAACCCAAGAGCTGGAAGGCTGTGGCTGGGGCAGTTTTGGCTTTGTCCTTAGTGGTGTCTGTTCCTGGCAAGCAGAGTGTGTGAAGGCTGGTGGTCAATATAAGAAGCAGTAGCTATCATATCCCTGCAGACCTGGGGCTCCAAGGTTTCCAAGTGTGATGGGACAAAATGTAACAAGTTTGTAGAGTGAAGTGTCTGATGGGTACTCAGAGCCCAGTGAACTTTCTAGCAGGGCAGCTTGGCCTTTATCCATGAGAGGCCACATCCCTGGAGGCCAGGACAATGTCTGCCTTTAACATCAGACATTTGTGGATACTGAGTGATTCCTGGCTGGAGGAAGTCACTCTTTTCTTTTAGGGTCTGTCCATTCTCTGGACCAGCTACAGTTAATCATCTCTCTCTCTCTCTCTCTGACACACACATACACACCAGCTCTAACAAAACAAAACAAAACAGCTCTGGGAGCTGGAGAGATTATTAATCAGTTAAGAATATTTGTTGCTGTTCCGGAGGACCCAGGTTCAATTCTCAGCACCCACATAGCAGCACATGCCTTCAATCCCAGCACTCAGGAGGCAAAGGCCAATGGATCTCTGAGTTCACAGCCAGCCTGGTCTACAAAGCGAGTTCTAGTTTAGGCTCCAAAGTTAAGAGAAACCCTGTCTCGAAAAAGGGCTGAAAATACCCCTGCCTTGTAAAGAGAGGCCTCCCTTGGCTGTAGCTCCTGGTGGCTTCAGGGGTCCTCTTGGTAGAAGTTCTCTTCAGTTCTAACTTCTGTGGCTGCACAGCTGTCCACTTGGTACAGTCATGTGCCCCTACTTCAAGATGTGATTCATGCAAGAACACTGGGTGGTCCAGAAAAGCTTGACCATCTCACTGCATCAGCAAAGCCCTTTGAGGCACATTAGGTGACATCCATAGGCCTCAGAGGGGTAGGGGATCGCTGTTCACCTGACACCAGGGATCTGGAGCAGGATTAACACACGTAGTGGGGGAAATCTCTCAATGTGGACAGTAGTGTGTGTGTATGGAAGGTGGATAGCAGAATGATCCACACTGGTGGCTCTGGTCCCTGCTTGGAGGCTGACTGATAGGAAGCAGACACTGTCTAGGCATAGTGATACATGCCTGTAATCCTAACATTTGGAAGGTGGGGGTGAGAGACCAGTTCATCTTTGGCTACATAAGTCTTTGAGGCTAGCCTGGGTTATATAAAACCCTTTCTCGGAAAAACAAATGAGAAACAACCAGCGATAGGGTTCAGCAGGTAAAAGTGCTTGTTATCTAAGCCTGACAAGCTGAATTTGGTCCTTAGGACCTGTGTGGTATAAGGAAGAAACCGACTCCCACAGGCTGTTTTCTTATCGGCACTGTAGCGCTTGAACACGTTACTCCTGCACATAAAATAAACAAGTTTCCTTTTGTTGTTTTTTTGAGACAGGATTTTCTCCTAGTAGCCCTGATCATCCTGAAACTCGCTGTGTAGACCAGGCTAGTCTCAAACTTGGAGATCCGCCTGCCTCTACCTCCTGAGTGCTGGGACCAAAGGTGTGCGCCACCACTGCCTGGCTGCTTTATTTTTTAAAAGAAAGGACAAAAAGAGAAAGGAGCATTAAGTTATGGAGACCCATGGTATTGTAACCTTGGGTGGGAGCAGTTGCCCCTCTATCCAGAGCTCTTGCCACATTATCTGGTCAGTAGTGGTCATGGGTTTAGGCTTTTTTGCTTCTGCTACCTCATCAGGTCAACTGGGTGGGTGGACTCCTGGTCTAAGCAGGAATTCCTATAGCTTGTGCTCACATACACACATGTCACAGAAAATGACTCACAGGAGTGAATTCTAAGAATCAAACATGTCATTAGGCTTGGCAGCAAGCATCTGTACCCACTGAACAAAGCCACCTTACTGGTCCCAGATTTGCTCAAGACACTGAGGTGTCCTATCTACTGACCCAAGACAGCTAGCTCCTTTACTACTTGAGGGTCCAACTGTGGCCCAGTTTCCTTTCACAGAGCACTGACAGTGCCAGCATGGATCCCAGAGGGTCCTGAACCACAGTTGTGGTGCTCAGGCAGTCTTGAGTCTCTTCAGTGGTTAGAGTCTACATCCAGGGGGTGTGTGGGAATGCTTACGGCTAATCAGGATACACTATGCGTTTCAAAACTGACCAGTCTACACTTCCTAGAGGGTTCAGCTTCATTGGGACACCAACTGCCAAGAGCTGTTGGAAACCCACTTCTGCAAATTCCCACTGTTAGGACCCAGAAATCACACCGTCTTCTCACTAGGTGTGAGCTTTGGCAATGGTTTGTCTTGCTTCCTGTAGCAACAGGAAGGTAAATGACTTCAGCCATCAAAGCAAATAGCAGGTGAATGAAGGCACTATAGGCCGGAGGAAGGACATCAGGCATGCATTGTCTATGGAAATGTCACCACTGTGAGGTATAGAATAAAGGACACAGGCTCACACTCCACACCAAAACTCTACCAGTAACATGCCTATAATATATTTGAAAAACTTTACAACAGGTACACACATACTTTTGGAGATGCATGATGGGCTAACCCATCAGAATCATGTTCACAGAAGTGGGCACCTCCCACCCTCACAGTGAGCTGCATCGAGGCATCACATCTTGGAGACACAAACAGAGAAACCCACAGGCCAGCAAGCAAATGGAAGAAAACTGTGCTGAGGGAAAGGGGCATGCATAGGAGGAAGGCTGCTGTGGTTCTAGGAAAGCCTCCTCTTTCATTGTATCATGATTCATTTGTAAAGAGGAAGTGGGTTCTGAGAAAAATACTTGAAATATTCTCTCAGGGGGAGAAGGCAGCTCTTCACCAGGGCGTCAACTTTCTCAGTGGCCATCTTGGCTCTGGTTCTAACTTGGCATTCCAGGGACTGTTCCTCCTTTGGTGTCAGGGCCAAGTGTTTGCTACCAAGGAAAGAGTCACCTGTTAGAAATGCTGCACTGGGCTGGGGTTGGGGGGGGGGTTCTATGAGTTCAAGGCCAGCCTGATCTACAGAATGAGTTCCAACACAGCCAGGCTGTTACACAGAGAAACGTATCTCGAAAAACCAAAAGAATTAAAAAAAAAAAAAAAAAAAAAAAAAAACAACCAAAAAAAACAAAACAAAACAAAACATGTGTCCCACTGTCCACTACCCCCCAGCTGAGACCGCTGATCTTTGATCCAGCCCAGCATAGCCCCTTTTTGGTGTGAAGAGGGAGCTGGGAAGCTGCCATGAGTGGATGTGAGTCATCCCAGGCAGTGACTCACACAGAGCAAGGGTAAAGATTAGTGAGACCCTTCAAGGGTGCACATGCACTGTTCCCAGGAGGCCTGACATGTCAAACCCAGTTGACACAAGTGGTAAGCCTATGCCAGGGGCTCCTAGAGTATGTTATCCGGGAGTCTGCCCAGATATGGCGCCTAGTATCCCCTTTCTGTGTGCCCAGTCCCATCTCCATATCTTTGGGGGCACACAAAAGCAATGAATGGCATGTCACAGTGCCTGTCCTCCAGTTTCCCTGTATTCTACCCTGTCTTCATGCCCCCCTATCTCCAGGGATGACAGTGGAGGCAGATATTATAGGAGCTGGCCTTGAACTTTGCAAGATAATTCATACTTCAATGGGCAAGAGTCTTTCCCCTCACTGTGAAGCCACCCTGAAAGCAAATAGCCTCCAGTTTCCTCCAGGAACCCTAAATCAGAAAGGAGGTACCTGAGGCTAGAGCCCAGGAGGAGGTAAGCTGTCTGTCCATGCTCCAAATGTGGGAGCACCCTATAGTGGGGCAGTATCTCTTACGCAACCACATGTATTAGAATTGGCAAGGCCAACGTGATTGCTTCTAAAGCACGTTTGTTGTTAGGGAATAGAAGGCCTGTGTGATGAGAGATGTCCTCCTGGATGCTGTGACTATGTGTTTCTCTTACTGGTTGATGATGTTTTGACCATTGGACAGGCAGAATTTAACTAAGCAGGCAATTTAAACAAAGATGCAGAGGAAGGAAGGCAGGGTCAAGAAGACGCCATGTAGCCAACAGGGAGGCAGGATATCAGAGCATCACATAGGTAAGCCACAGCCATGTGGTGATACACAGATTAACAAAAATGGGTTAATTTATAAGAGAGAACTAGCTAATAAGAAGTCTAAGTAATTGGCCAAACAATTGTAACTGGAATTAAGCCTCAGAATGGTTATTTCATAGTAGCTTTGGGGACCTGAGGGGCAGAGAGAAACTGGTCCAGACTAGATGGGGAAAAAGTCTTCTACACCTGTGTGTGACATGCCTGATAGGCCCACAGCTGACAGGAGTAGAGCCTGGCTCCTTTTGCCGATGGTTCAGCTCATTTGCGGTCCCTCTCCCACAGTGTCTGCCAGGAAAGGACAGAAGGCAGGAGACCATACCTTACTTAGAAGTGTACAAAAAGAATGTTTGGGAAAGTATGTCTCCTCAGCTCCACCTTAACTCAAGTCCTGAAAGCCAAAGGTGAGGGAACCTGGTGGTGTACCTGACTGGCATACTGGCTCGGAGTTGGGTGGGAAGTTCCCAGAAACTCAGTATAGGGCATGAAAGGACATGAGTTTGCAGTCTCAGAAGACACAGATCCAGCTGGCTCAATCTACCACACCAGTCAGTGAGAAAGTGGGTGTCTGTGTGTGGGTGTGTGAATGTGTTAGGGAGCTGTGTCAGTATGTATGAATGAGTGTGTGGGTAAGCATGAGTGGTGTATAGGGCAGGAACTTCGGAAGGCTGGGGGGTAACTGGCCTGCACAGTTTTGAGGATGTGTGTCCCTGAGGCCCATGGCTATGAGTCTGGACTTTCTCCTGAGGAGGAAATACTTCTCCAGTCCTGAGGCAAGATCAGAAGGTATTGGGTAAACACAGGGAGAGTCCCTCAGGGTACAGAGACACTCTGAGCCCCATTGTGTTCAGGGTTATGGTGGACAAGTGGTTACTGAGACAAGGCCAGGTGGAGCAGGGTACTGTGTAGGCCTGACTACCAGCATGCACCATTTCCTCTGCCTCTGAGTGTAATTCCCCTGCCCTGAAGAGATACCTCTTCAACCCTGGGATGTTGCTCCACACTCGCACAGCGTTCTGGAGGACTCTGCTGCGGACATCCTGGAGGGTCACAGCCTCCGTCTGTGGGAGAAGAGAGGGCTGTGGGTCAGCAGGACACAAATGTAATCTCCTCCCCCTGGGATCCACATAGTCAACAGACCATGTAAGCTGGCCATGCCTCCTCTGTGGCACTACTCACAGGGTACTTATTTTCCCTTACATACCCTGAAGACCACTTTGATGAACTCTTTTTATATACTTTTAAAAACTTCACTGAAATGGGTTATATTCTAGGATAAGGTAACTTTCCAGAAGGCTGACTTCTGAAAAGACAAAAATCTCTGGGTCTCTGGGTGGTGGTGGAGGCAGAGGCAGGTGGATCTCTGAGTTCAAGGCCAGCCTGGTCTACAGAGTGAGTTCCAGGACAGCCAGGGATGCATAGAAAAACCCTATTTCTAAAAGAAAAAGTCAGTATCTTCTTTTCTTTCTTTCTTCCTTCTTTCTTTCTTTCTTCCTTTCCTACTTTCTTTCTTTCTTTTTTTGGTGGTGGTGGGGTCTCAGTGGACAGAGTCTCACCATGTAGCCCTAGCCCGCCAGGAATTTACTATGTAGACCAGACAGGCCTCCAATTCACAGATAACTTCCTCCTTTGCTAGAACTAAAAACAAAAGCATGTGCTACTACAATTTTGTTTGTTTTTTAAGTACCAAGCGATACAATTTCATAGACTTCTTTCACCATATAAAATATTTCTATGAACCAGATTCAACACAGAAACAAAAACCTAACAAGGATCCCACAAAAGAGAAAACCACAGACCAACCTCCTTTTACACTTGTCAACCCCAAAAGTCCTACTATAACACTTTCCACAGGTCTTAGCCCTGTGTTAAAATAACACACCACGGCCAAGTGAATTTTCCCAGGAATGCAAGGACAGTTCATTCCCAGCAGCTCTAACCACATACTACAGCCCATTAATGGATGGGAGAGGGGGCAGCAGTAATCTTGCCATCTCACAAATGTTAAAAAAAAGAACTCAAGAGGCTGGGCTTGGTGATGCACACCTTTAATCCCGGCACTTGACCAGCAGGGCCTTTCATTCCTGATTTGATTTTTCTGTTGAAGTACTCAGGGCAATTGTTTGGTGCCTATGAATCCCAATCCTTTTTACTCCCACAATAAGCCAAGCTCCCCAAACCACTGTATCTCCTTCCAGGAGGTAAGGGCGCAACAGGCTTCTTCTTTCATCTCCTGCCTGTGTCTAAGGCTGTCAGTCATTGCTCACCCTCCACAGCTTTCTATCCCTGACACACTGGCCCCCATGTGGGGTCTGCACTGATTGTACAGGTGAGAACAGGCGGTTCAGAATGAGTGCACACGGATGTGGAAGTGCATGGAGAGGGCATGCATGTCATGTGGGAAGTGTGTTTGGTTTGAGTGGATGTGGTCATGTGTGCAGGCTGAAAGGTGAGAGCAGCTGTGACTACATAAACAGGAGTAGTGTAGGGGGGGGGAGCGGTGTAGGAGGGGGGGAGCGTTGCCCTTCCAGGCTAACCCCATAGGGGCCAGTGTCCTGAAAATCTGCAGCCTGTGTCTCAGGTGCTAATGTCCTTGTGGCTCCGCATACACCAGGGCAGCAGAGGCCTTAAGAATGAGAGTGCCAGAGTTGGGTACAGGTTAAGCTCCTACCCCTAGATACACCCACCTGGAAGAAACGAGCTGCTGTGACTTGGTCATCCTCAGACAGCAGCAGATTGTCCACAAATATCCAGAAGAAAGGCTGCTGACTCCCTGGGCGTGGTCGAGCGTACTGCAGCATCCGGTGGAATTGGAACATGTACCAGCCTGTCGTGAACCAGGGGGAAGGCCGGTTCAGATGGCAAGGGCCAGGTGGAGGGCCAGGACAACACCTCTACTCTCCCATTGTGTCTAGAGCTCACCCGACAGCACACTGAGCACGTGCAGGGAAGCTGGTTTTAAAATGCACTGTGTGATTTCTGCCCTGTCTGAAGGCTGAGGAGGCTTAAAGGGATGTGGTGACAGAAGAGAGGACAGGGTAGAGCTGACAGGGTTGAAGACAGGATCCTCAGGTGACTGGAGCTGAAAACAACCCATTTCTTGAAACTTACCAGGGCAGTGATCACTAGAGTAGCCTAGAGGCTGTGTGGAGCCATACACAAGGTCAAAGGGACCCCAACTCTCCACCTAGGGAAAACACACATCGTTATTTATGGGCTGACGATGACTAAAAGCTAAGTGCCCCTCACTGGTGGCCAGCATTATGGCCTCTGTATCCCTCTCATCTTGTGAGTGACCCAAACAAGCCTTGGGACTTGTTTGGCAGAAATACCCAGATACCAATGACTCTCAGGAGAAGCTCAAACAGTGGTAGTTTGAGAACATTCCATGTGAGATTCTTTAAATAAACTGTTTCTTTTAGAAGGGGGACTAGCCCTGGAGGGAGAACACATGCTCATTCAGTATGAGGGTTTCCATATCCTTCTGGGAAATTTGAGATTATGCCTGAGTCAGCAGCTGGGAGCAGTCAGAAGGGTGGACATTGTCTGACGACCATAAACAATTCCCACTTAGTATGGGGGTGGGGTGGGGTGTTTCACTTGCTGGCTAGTTTCTTGGAACTCACTCTATTGACCAGGCTGGCCTTGAACTCCAAGATCTGTTTTGCCTGTACCTCCCGAGTGCTGAGACTAAAGGCGGGCACCACCACTACCTGGCTCAGCCCTGAACATTCTTTTAAGAAACAGTTCCACCTGGCAATGGTGGTCCACCCCTTTAATCCCAGCCCTCAGGAGGCAGAGGTAGGTGGGTCTCTCTGAATTGTAGGCCAGCCTGGTCTGCAGGGCAAGCTCCAGGACAGCCAGGGCTACACAGAGAAACCCTGTCTTGAAAAAAACAAAACAACAAAAATTTAGCAGCTGGAAAGATAGCTCAGAGGTTAAGAACACTAGCTACACGTCCACAGGTCCTGAGTTCAATTCCCAGCAACCACAAGGAGGCTCACAACTATCTATGAGATCTGATGCCCTCTTCTGGTGTGCAGGGACACATGCAGGCAGAACCCTGTATACATAATAAATCAAGGAAGGAAGGAAGTTAGTTCTAAGATGTCCAAGCATGACTTCCCCAATCTAGAACAGGCCCCCCACTTTCTTGAACCTTCCATTTCTCTTAGTAGTAGCATGACTCCTAAGTTAGGCTCTAACTTCTTGTGCTCTACCTGGGATCCTACAGGGGCAATGACTGGTTAGGATCTGGGCAAAGGAAGTGGTCAGGGCTCTGGGTTAAAAAGCATCGCCCCAACTGTCATATAAGGAGTGGCCCTAATGCAGCTTGCCCCCTGCACCGCCCCCCCCCCCAAGCCAAGCCCTCAGGAGGCACAAGTGGAAGAGGATTCCCACTACAGGACAAGACAGCACCACATTTGCGTTTGGAAGAAGTTTTCATACGATCATTGGATGCTCAGCTCAAGACTTGCAATAATGAGAGGGTGGGATTGAGCCCCTCCACCCATGCATATCCCCCATCATAGATAGCAGAAACCAGCCATGTGGATTTCAAGATGTCTGGCTGCTTGCCCAGTCTCGTCTGAGGGCCAAGCAGAAGTCAGAGAAGCATTCCACTCCTGCCTCCCTCTGTGAGGCTCAACTGGGCTCAGCCAGACCCAGGACCCCATGCTGGTCTGAAGACTTGTAGCTGTGCCTAGTGCTCAGCATGCTTCTTCCTGCCCCTCCAGGGCTCCCTCCCTCCCATCCCCCTCTTACCCCAGGCCCTGTAGTCTCTCCACTGGCACACCTGGCCTTGGCAGCCCACACCCCTCAACTTACATCTCTCCTCACAACATTCGTGACATCTTCCAAGTACTTCAGTCTTCCTTCCTCAGAATAGCCACTTTCCAAAAAGCCCAAACTCTTTAGCTCTGGAGGGAGGACAGACAAGATGGACAGTGGTCTCTGTCCCCGCAGAGTGTGTGTGTGTTTGGGGTTATGACAGTGAGAATTTTCCTGTCATGACACAGCAGCTTGATCTTTTCTAGTGTCAGAGCCCAAAGACAAACTTCCTGAGTGCTAATTTATGAAAGTCATGAAATCTGTTGCAAAACACTCCATTTCTGAACCATGCTTGCTCTCACTTGCTGGCCTAGGCAATCAGGGGGCTGTGGCATCCAAAAATGTGTCATTTTTGAACATACAGAGCAGGTGGACTTCCACCAACAATGAGAGCTTGGGTATAGTGATACAATTATAATTATCACATGGGTCCTTGTGTCACACTGTGGGGGTCACTGGACACTCTCCTGAGTGGGATATGACTTAGCCAGAGAACATAGCACCTTCAGGGCTCTGTGAGTGCTGAACACACAGGATCAGAGAAGTCCAAGGGACAAGAATCCAGGAGAAAACATAGGCAGGTTGGGAGATTCAAGTATAGAAAGAGGGTTCGGGAAGGTGGGGAGGCTGGGGAGCCTATGCTTGAGTGGAGCAGAGCTGCTAGAACCCAGCCTCCTCACCAGTAGTTCCCATCTACCTTTGCAGGCTTGCCCTGCCCCCATTCCTGCCTCCTCCCCTTGGGCCTTTGGCTTTCTGGCCTTTTCATCTGGGCCTTTGACTGGGTTCCAGCTCTCTGGACCTTTTCATCTTCCCTCCTGCTTGGGCACAGGGCTGAGGGTTTCTCTGGTTGTCACACCCTTTCCTGGGTTACTTAATTGTCTCAGCTCAAGGAACCTGAGGAAGAAGAAGCTAGACTGGTATTCTATTCTCAATCCCTGCTCCCAGCCTCAGGTGCCTGTGGTAGCCTAACAGCCAGGGGGAGGACACCAGACCACTCTGAGCTCCTCCTGTCCCCTCTTCTGGAGAATAATTTGATGTGGCCTATACTCACCTTTATCAATATTCCCAAAAAGGCTGAGCACCCGCATGGACTGTCTCTTCCACGCAGATACTGTCTTGTACATCTCCAGAGGGCTTGCCTGGAAAGGAAATAAAAGAAAAAAGGAAAGCAAAAGAGGCAACAGGATGTATGCTGGCTGCTCGGTGAGAGCTGGTAGTTACAGATAAGTGGCTCCTATGTCATTCTCCTGATGGACAGGACTCAACTGAGAGCCACCTGGGACACCAAGGCCTGGCTAGTGACCAACATTGTCCATCCCTCCCTGGATGGAGGCCAACTCCACTCACTCCCCAGGTCTAGGTCTCTTGTCTGGACCCCACATATATAAGGGGAAACAGGGGAATGGTTTCTTTGAAGTTAGAGGACTCTGGATTCTAGTGGAGAACAGCTCTGTAGGTGTCGGGCTCCGAGACTCTAGGAGAGCAAAGCCATTCCCATAGTCCAGCAGAGCCTGAAACCCAGGTGATACCAGGTGAAAACCAGGTGGCCTCTAAGGCTTCAGGACACCATCCTAGGCCTCTCCCAGCTGCTGGGCTCAGCACACTGTGCCTCCTACTGGCTCTGGGCTGCCTCTGCTTTCATCACTAGTCTTTTTTTCTGTGTTTCAACTCCCCTAAGCTCCTTCTCTTATAAGGACACCCCCACTTCATGTTGAGGCCACCTCATTCTAAACCGCTCTTATCTCCACCTCAGCTAAGTGACACCACCACAAAGGCCCCGCTTCCGTTGTGTTTTCAGGTCTCCAGCTTTTGACCTTGACAGATACTTGGGGGTGAAGAGACTCACAGTCCAGTCTTCTGCACCTGTGACTGGTTTGACCCCTCTGGGCTTCACCCTTGAGATGGTAGCCATGGTGGCATATGGTGTACCATGTTGGCTAAGCATTCAAGCCAATGTGATAGACTTCTATGTCTGTGGAGAGGGCTCCTGTCCTACTTGTAATCAGCAATCATCCCTAGGTTTTCAAGAAACAAAATGACAATCAAGGACGCAACTCAGTGGCAAAGCACTTGTGGAGCCTATGGCCCTGGGTTCAGTCCTTATAAATGTGGTGCCTGAAATCCCAGTACTCAGGGGCAGAGGGTCACTGAGTTCAAGGCTGTCCTCAGCTACATAGTGAGTTTGAGGAAAGCCTAAGACCCTCACAACAAAACACCAGTGACACTTGCTCTCTAGCGAAAGGGGCATTATGGCGAGAGCCTTATCCTATCCTGTGATAGAGTATGTGCACACTTGAAAGCCTTGGCAGATCCAGTCCTGGTGGTTCTTACCCCATTTAGGTCATAGAAGGCCTTCAGTTGGTGCCGCCACTTCCTTCGCCTCTGCAGTAGTCCACTGCGACTAAAAGGCAGGCACAGGAAGCAAACCCAGCAGGCCATGGCATTGATTCGCTCCGAGGTCCCGGGGCCCACCAGGATATCCACACACTCGAAACAGTAGCATCTAGAGTCAAACCGAAAACCACAGTGACCCAAATCATACTGCCATTGGGTGACCGCAAGGCAAGCCAACACCTTGTTCTGGAGAGAACCATCTGTTTCTCTCTGGGCTCACCAAGAGGCTTTGCTCTCAGTTCTGGGTGGGTGGGCCTGGCTGTAAGCTGGAAAGGGGATGGTAGATGTGAGGTGGGTGTACCCAAAATGGCGGACCTCACTGCCCTAAGCCTTCCCACAACTCTGAAGCCTATAAACACTTTTTGAGGATTCTGAGAAAAACCATGTACGGGAGTAGCAGGCTGGGAATGGGACCCTTGATGTCAGGGATGTAAAGAGGAAGATGTCCAGGGCTGGACAGGGATTGGCATGGGTGGAGCTCTGGATGCTGGTTTAACAGCTGAAGGTGAATGTACCACCCATGCCCTGAACAATCCTGGTTCCGCCGACTCATGACCAGCAGCCCCTGGGCAGAGTTCAAGCACCCATTTTTATGTTTCACAAGGACAGAGGGAATGGCCATGTGGCGGCATCACAGATGCACACCCTAGGCACCCGTTTCTCATGCTGGGGGTGGCTCTTTCGAGAGGAGCAATGGGAAGTTGGGCCTTGCCTCACCTGGTACAGTCAGGGCTCTCACAGATAAACAGGGTGTCCCCAGAGCAGCAGATGGTACAGTAGCTCTGGTGTCCATCCTCATCGTAAAGAAAGAGGGTCTCCAGGAACGTGTCCTGAACAGGGAGCAAAGGCTTTGAGTGTGCAATCACCCCATCCAATGCCAAGTAAGTCTCACTGCCTCCCTGCTTACCTTACATGAGGCACATATCCCCCCCTCAAATAAAGGGTGCTGCGTGTACACCTGGAGACTTCCACAACCTAGGCAAATGTCTGGAGAAAGCGAAGAGGGAAAAGACTTAATAAAAACAGTCCAAGAACCCTGAGAGAGACCAGGGAAGATGCAAGAAGCACGTGTCAGGGTCACAGATGGGAAGACTTGATGAGAAAACAAGATGCCCCAAATGAAGAGCAGACGTCTCCAACCCCAGATGACTTTTTGCAGACCTGACATGTTTGTTGATCATAAAATGCCCAAGGACTCCTATATTGGCCAATCCAGAGAAACAGATCACTGACTGAAGAGCTTGGAGTCCATATGAATGGATACATTTTAAAAAGAAATATTTGTATATGAATGCTCTTTCTGCACATAGTCCTTTATATCAGGAGAGGGCATCAGATCCCGCTATAGATGGTTGTGAGTCACCAAGTATGTGCTGGGAACTGAACTCAAGCCCTCTGGAAGAGCAGTCAGTGCTCTTAACAGCTGAGCCATCTCTCCACCTCCTAAATACGTTTTTTATTTTCTCCCCCCCCCCTTTTTGTTTCTGACAGGGTCAAGTATATCTGGAACTTTGGTTTTCCCACCTCTTGTTTCCTGAATGTTGGGTTACAGGGTGTGTCACCACACCCAGTTTATAGGGTACTGGTGTTAGAACCTAGAGCTTCCTGCAAAATGAGTAGACACTCTCCTGAGAACTCAGCACAATCTCAGTTAAGTCGTAGATGTAAACACACATTTGATTTGTGGGTGGGGTGGGGTTCAAGACAGGGTTTCGCTCCATAGCCCTGGCTGTCCTAGAACTCGCTCTATAGACCAGGCTGGCCTCAACCTCAGAGATCTTCCTGCCTCTGCCTCCAGAGTGCTGGGATTAATGGGATGCACCACCATGTCCAGCCCAGATACACAAAAAATTTCAACCACATGCCTTAAATAAATCTGGTTGCTGGGGTAAGGGGGATGGGGAGAGCACATCATGGGCACCAGGATTGTTCCCACTTTCTGGGATGGCTGAGTGAGGCTGAAGCAAGCGTTCTGATGGGGCTGACACTGTTTTGCTGGGTAACAGGCAAATGTGCAAACTCACCTTCAATGTTCCGTCGGTTCACAGTGACTTCGTATCTGATGATCTCTGGAAGAGAAAAAGTAGCCTCTGTCCTCTCCTGGTTCCTCATTGGAGCATGCATAGTTAACTTGTTTTCTGGGACACAAGGAATCCCCCCCCCCACACACACACTGAATGCCTGCCCTTGTCTGGGGTGGGGGCATCCTGAACGATAGAAACATTCCAAGCATTGCCTGACTCTGATGTCCTCATCCTAGAGATAAGTTCATTTCTTGGGTGGGGCCTTACCTCTGCCTGGAGGGGGTGAGGTTAAGGACAGCAGGTCCCGGGAGTCTTCCAGTACACTATCCATGCTGTGCTCTTCATTGAGGACAGGGGCTGCAGATAGAGAAGGCACCATCACAGGGTGCCCTCACAGGGACACAAGATAGATGCAGGAGAACAGTCAACAAAGGCCAAGGGACTCATTAGACTGCCCAGTCAAGCCATGGCGACATCCACCCACCCATCTGGGTGGGCCCTATGGGATCCCCTTCATCCATCCAGTCCAGCCACCATGTGTTTTCAGGTGGGTCACTTCCCAGTGTCCACGTGGCCCTGCCTCCCTCTCTACCTGGTAAACCCCTAGAGGACCCATGTTCCCACCTTCTGGTGACAGTCCAGACCCTCTGCTAAGAACCCTGTGGAGGAAGGAAGGGAAGAGGATGGGAGAGGGAAAAGAAGACAGAGGCCTGAGGCTCTCACAGATGTTCCGACATTGCTCTTCCAGGTGGCTGGCAGAGTCCGGGCTAGAGCTGTCCAGCGTCTCCAGGTCCCAAGTTCGAAGGGCCTTGTCCCGGGAACCCATGGAGGTTGTCTGAGAGAAGGATCCGTGTCCAAGGAATGGCCGGAGTCTGGAGACTTCAGGAGGTGTATCACCAGGGTCGTCAGAAACCTGCAATGTGATGAGAGATGAGGGTGGGTTCTCTTGGGGCCTAGTGGGGAGTTGTGGGGAGGAAGAGAAAGGGAAGGTTTAAAGGGACCTTAAGGCAAGCAGGGATGAGAGCGATGTGCTGTATAGAGCCTATTAAGGGCCTGGGGTGGTGGGGTTGAGGGTGTGGGGGCAGGCACTTGGGGCGGGGCTTAAGGAGCCCATCACGTGGGGGGATTCAGGGAAGGAGTGGGGGTGGGGTGGATGGGGCGGGGCTGAAGGGGCTTAGGGATCCTTGTGAGTGGGAGAGGGGTTCAGAGGAGGGGTAGGGGAGAGGTGGGGGGGAGGGAGAATGTTTAGAGGAGGGGTTATTGAGTACTATAGGAGTGCAGCTGAAATCAGGTGGGGATGGGGGAAGGGAGGCACTAAGCCTCACACAGTGATCATTGAGGTTAGGGAGCCGGGAGATAGGGTTCCTGATTGAGTGGAGGGGAGATGGGTGGGGCCTAGGAGATATGGTGGGAGTAAGGATAACAAAGGCTTGGTGAGTGGGGGAGGGGGATGAAGAGCGCCTTGGGTTGAGACAAGGTCAAGGGCAGAGTAGGACTTTATAGGACCACGAGGTTGAAATGTGACTGCCCCTGTGGGTAATGTGGAGGGAAGATCTGCCAACCTCTCGTAGAGTGCTTAATGAATTATTCTTCATTCACCGCCACCAGTCCCTTCCAGGGTGCTACAGTGGCTCTTCTAATCCACTGGTTATAGTGGAGGGCAAAAGTTGTGAGGAGACCCTGGGAACATGGTTCCTGACTCTAGACTTGGATGGACAAGGCCAGTGACTTATACAAGGTTCAGTATGGAGGTCGCGGCTCACCTCAGTCCAGTGATTCAGGCCAGCACCACTGTGACCCGACCTGTGTTGTGAAGAACTGATAAGACAGTGGGCAGGTTATAGGAGACAGCCAGGTCCCTTGTCTGCATTTCAGTGCTAAGTAGTGGGGGTCCTGAGACATCACATTTGCCTGACTTGCTAAATGACTTCTCAAGTCCCCCACACCTGCCTAAGCACTGCACAGACTGGGAAAACATCTGTTTTGATATTTGGCATAAGCTATACATTTCCACAGATGGCTCCCCAGTAGAGGAGCCAGCGTGGCCACGAGCCAGCTTGGCCACAAGCCTGCAGCTTCAGGCGGTAGAATAAACTGGTTGAGTCTCTCTGCCCTTGTCCTACCTGATCTTCTAGGATTTCTCTTTTTATCTATTTGGAAGGGGTGTGGCTCTGTGGATTGAACCAGGGTTTTGTGCTGTATATAGTCAGCAAGCCTCCATCGATTGATCTACGTGGCCAGACTGAGCTACATTGCCCGACTTCAGTTTCCTTATTTTTAACATTTGGATTTTTTGTTTGATTGGTTGTTTTTTGTTTTTGAGACAACAGGCTGGCCTCATACTCAGAGATACCTCTGACTCTGCTGGGATTTGGGTATCTTTTAAAAGACTTTGCAAAGAGGTTGGCAAGCCCTCACCATTGTCTTTTTCTTACTGATTTGGAATTTGTTTTTGCTAAAGATACTAAGACATTCTCATGTAAATGTTAGAAATATTTTATTCATCTTAATAATGTCATATATATATATATATATATATATATATATATATATATATATATTGGTCTCATTGTATAGACCAAGCAGGCCTGGAATTCACAGAGATCTGCCTGCTTCTGTGTTCCAAGTACTGGAATTCAAGGTATGCACCACCACACCCAGGCTTTGTTTTTAAAGACTGGGTCTCACTCTGTAGCCCCTGCTGTCCTGTAGCTTATTGTGTAGCCTAGGCTGACCTCAAACCCAGAGCAAGCTTTCTGCCTCTATCTCCTGGGTGGTAGGGCTTTCAGGATTAAGCCATCATACCCAGTATCACTAATAGATTTTAGTGTTTTGTAGTGTTTTATGTAGAAATATTGTGTATTAAGACAGGCCTATTGCTCTTTTTTAAGCTATTGTATTTATTTGTGTGTATATAATGCACATGTGCGCTTGCCTGGCATGGTGTACATAGAAGTCAAGCTCTGAAATAGAAAAATAAACCAACAAACAAGAAGTCCAGCAAGATGGCTCCATGGGGGAAGGTGCTTGCCACTGAGCCTAACCACCTGAGCTGGGAGTTCAGTCTTGGGAGCCAACTCACACATGTTGTTATCCCCTCCCCCCCACATGTCTCTCTCTCTCTCTCTCTCTCTCTCTCTCTCTCTCACACACACACACACACACACACACACACACACACACACACACCACAGCACACACAATTGTTTTAATTCTGTATGAAGGCTAGAGAAATGACTTGGCAGTAAAAGAACTTACTGTTCTTTCAGAGAGTAAGAGTTCAGTGTTAATTGATTGCAACTCTTTTACACATCTAGGTTAAGAAATAGCTGAGTTTAGCTAGGTGGTAGATATGTATGCCTTTAATCTTAGCACTCAGGAGGTAGAGGCAGTCAGATCTCTGAGTTTGAGGCCCACTTGGTCTACAAAGCAAGTTCCAGGACAGCCAGAGCTATTACAAAGAGAAACCCTGTCTCGAAAAAACAAAAGAGCTAAATTTAGATGCTAAATCCAGACAGTGGCATACCTCTCCATTTCTTTCCTCTTTTGTGAAAATGTGAGCTGGGGCCCAGGAGTCAAGGCCGGCCTGGACCACACAATGGGATTTGATCTGAAACAACAGGACTTCCGATACAGCTCAGCTGGAGATGTCCTGGTCTAGCAGGCAGGCAGCACTGCATAAACCATGCTTATGCCTGTCATCCTAGCACTTGGTGGAGGCAGGAAGTTCAAGGTCATCCTTGGCTACATAGTGATTTCTAGGCCAACCTAAGGTATACAAGAACTACCCCCCCAAAAAAAAAGAATAATCAAATAATAGCAACAAAAATGAACAAGAAAGTCAGGTGGTAGTGGCACACACTTTTAATCCCAGGACTCTGAAGGCAGAGGCAGGCAGATCTCTGTGAGTTCGAGACCAGCCTGGTCTACAGAGTGAGTTCCAGGACAGCCTTCAAAGCTATACAGACAAACCCTGTCTTGAAAACAACCAAAAAACAAAACAAAACAAAAAAATAAACAAACAAAAACTACAGAATCAGAATAAGAAATTCCCCAGTTGTGAAAAGTACAGAGTTCTTTTATCTTTTTCTAGCTATTTGATATTTTTGTTAGTATTGAGAATATTTTCTATTACATTACCAATTTTAACCTAAGATTATCACACGGGCGTAGTAGTTGGGATCCAAAGCACACTGGGTGTGCAGATTGGGCAGGCCCATAGCAGCCCCCCAAGCTGCACCTGGCTCCAGCCCACCTCTGCTAAGGACCTTTTGGTACTTTCCCGTCCCTTTGCTTGTAACTGTCAGAGCCCCTTCTATCCCTGACCCAGGCCACCTTCTCCTTGGTTCTCTGCACCTCTGTGGGATGGAGTAGCTGCCCTGGGCTAGCCCCCATGCTCTAGTTAACCTCTCTGGGTTAAGGGCATTGAGGGTCATGGATGCAGCCCACTCGCTGGGGCCTCTGGAGACCTGAGGCTTAGCCCCTGTGTGGATACGGGTCGCCCAGACCACCTCTTCTAAGTTTAGCTGCTCCAGACCACCTGCAGGTGTGGACTGTCATGGAAACCCCCACATGTGACAACGGAAAGTCCAAAATTCTACAGGAGTCTTTCTGTTGATCTCCCACAAGAGGCTGGGGGACGCCTGCCTGCAACAGCTAGTGCTCAGACAATGGTGGGTGTTCTGGGACAGCTTCAGGCTTTTTATAAAAAAAAGTGCAGACTTTGGTCTATGATGCGGTTTTTAGTTCTCCTTTGTCCATTGCCTTTGGCAGAGGAATCCCCATCTGAGGAGAAGCCCCCACATAGGGAGAAACCTCTAGCTGGGGAGAAACCCCTAGGCTGCAAGCATGACATTAGGAGGATGGTAACCCTGCAAAGCAAGGGGCTATTGAGTTGCTACAGGATCAGTATACATACTGCCTCTGGCATCCTGGGTGCTTAATGTGTGTATTCTGCAGCTTGTGGCTCAGAAGCTCCATCAGTACCTTTGGTACTCTTGAGATCCTGGCAAGGTGTGAGCAGGGTACAAGGGACTAGAGCCTGTGTCCACTCTACCATGTCAGTGAGGAGCTCTGTGAGGGCTTGGTGCTGGGTTGGCAGGGGACTGGGGGTTGATGTTTCTGTGGTAAATACATACCTACAGGAGACAGCAGAAGAAGCCAATGAGCAACCTCCTTCAGGGCTGAGGGATGGGTGGTGACTCTCAGGGCACCAGTCCATCTTGGCATTACCCAAGGTTTCCTTCTCAGTACCTGTAGGAGGCACAAGGCAGGTATCACCAGCTCCATAGCCACTTGCAAAAACACTATGGTTATAGCTTGGAGCCTTGTGATGGGCAGTGAGAGAGGGCCCAATTCCTTGCACGCAGCCTATCTTGCTATACAACCCTCTAGCTCTGAGGTGACTGGACCTTCACAATGAAGCCCCCCCCAATCTGGGTCTTATGCTGGCTGCCTCACCCATGTTCAGCATTGACACCTCACCTTCTCCCTTCTTATCTGGTTCTGCACACACACACACACACACACACACACACACACACACACACACACGCTGGAGAGCAATCTCAGCACATGCAGAACTCTCAGGGGGACCCTGAATTAGGAGGTAGGAGAACCCAAGAGAGACCAAGGCAGGGACTAGCTATACATGGTTTCCTGCCCATCTCCCTGGTGGCCACTCTTATGAAGATGACTCTACTCACTGAATCAGCCACATAGCCCTAGCCCCAGCTTTACCATATCCCAGGGCTGTGCTAGCCAGTCTTAGCATTTACTTCTGTTCAACTATCAACACTCATAGTGGCTGGAGTCCCAGCACAATCCAGACCATAGTGCTTTGCTCCAACAACTTGCCACGGCCCAGGCCACTACCAGCTGTAGCCTTTCACCTTGCTGGGGTCACCGTTTCCTCTTGTGTCAACCTCTACACCCATTTCCATCTGCCTCCAGAGCACCTCCCCAGTTTTCTTGGCACTCCTGTCTTTCAGGTTACTAGTCTCTGTCATTAGTCCTGAGAGGACAGGAACTTGCATGATCCAGGGGCATTTGCTTAGGGATCTCTGCTGCCTTGCCCTTGCTGTTGAACTCTACCTGTCAGACCCACAGTTCAATGTACTGGCCACTTCAGAGCTCAGAGATACTCCATGTGTTGTTTCTAAGCACCAGCACACAGCATGGACCATCTCCTCCGTCCTGCTAGAATCTTTCATTCCATTCCTCCAGCTAGGGGTTCCCAGCCAGGTCCATTGTCCAGCCCTTTGCATTGCTCTCAGAGATGCAGGCACACCTGGGCATCCAGGGTGTGGCTAGAAGCACTATTTGGCCTCCCCGCTCCTTCCAGTTATTTTACTCTATGTGCATGAGTGTCTTGCTTGCATGTTTTTGGTCACCACATGCATGCATGTAATACCAGTAGAAGCCAAAAAAAGATGTCAAATCCTCTGGAACTGGAGTTATGAATAGGTTGTGAGCCATCATATGGCTATTGGGAACCAAACCCCCGGGCCCTCTGCAAGAGCAATAAGTGCTCTTATATGCTGAGCCTCCTCCAGTCCTCTATCTTTTCTAATTCATTGTGTGTGTGTGTATGAGTGAGTGTGTGTGTGTGTGTGTGTGTTCTTGTGTATGGAACTAGAGGTGAACATGGGGTGTTGCTCTCTACCCAAGTTTTTGAGGCATGTTCTCTTGTGGAACCTGGAGTTTATCCGTTCAGCTAGGTTGCCCCAAGGTTCCTGTCTCTGCCTCCCCAGCACTGGAATAACTCAGGCCCTCAGGCTTGGCAGGGCAGACAAATTGTCCACTGAGCCATCTTCCCAGCCTGTCCTGGTTTTACCCATAAACAGGACCCTCTGTAGGGAGACTGGAGGGGCAACTTTCCTGTTTCCTCTATCTCAGCCCAGGATTCTACCCCCAGCCCAGGCAGCTACTCTGGATTCCACAGGAAGTGAATGCCAGCTGTGTAGGGCCTCCTGAACCCAGTGCTAGAACAGTCTCTGTCCCCAACCCGCAGAAGCTGGGCCCTGATTGGCTCCAGGGTGAACAGCAGCCTCTGCTCTTTTCTGGTTGAAAGTATAACAGAGCAAAGCAAGCATCACCTTTCCCCAGCTGGGGAGTAGGTATATACTCTCACAGGCGCCTCCAGGGCTAACGCCGAGACCCAAGGTAGAGAGAAGGGAACACAAGCTCACACGGGCCAGCAGGGGGCGCTGACGCGCAGGCCGTGTCGAGGCGATGGCTGGCGGGGATGGGACGCTGCGCCGCCTGCTGAGACTGCACCGCACGGAGATTGCTGTGGCGGTAGACAGCGTCTTTCCGCTGCTGCACGCTCTGGCTGACCACGACGTGGTTCCAGAAGACAAGTTCCAGGTGGGCTCCTAGCCCTCCAGCGCCTCTCAGTCTCCTCACTCCTCTCTCCACAACCTAGATCCCTCCCAAGCCCTGCCAACACCCATCACCCATGCTATACCCCATCACCCCCACAACACACACACACACACACACACACACACACACACACACACACACACACACACACACACACACACCAGTCAAGGGGTGGCCTCAGCCCTCCTCAAGAGACCTCTCCAGGACAAGTTTCAGGTGAGTCTGCTAACCACACATCCTGTGCACCCCCACTTCCCAGAATCCGGGGATCAGCAGGAATAGGTAGGTCTCCCTTCTAAAAGGGGCAGCAGGGATTAGGGGTAGGGTGTGCACAGGTAGCCTGATACTGTCCCTTCAGGAGACACTCCGACTGAAGGAGAAGGAGGGCTGCTCCCAAGCCTTCCATGCCCTGCTGTCCTGGCTCTTGACCCAGGACAGTGGAGTCATCCTGGACTTCTGGAGGGTTCTCTTCAAGGACTACAATCTGGAACGGTACAGCCGCCTGCATACCATCCTGGACAGCTTCCCAAAAGGTGGGCTTGTGTTGAAGATGTTGCCTGCCATCCCAGCCTGTGGATAGCATTGAGGCTATGGGTCTAATTTAAGTGTTTTCAGGGAGCCACTAGAACTGGGCTTAATCCTAAAAGGCAAAGGGCAAAGACCTGACTCAAGAGTGTCCTGTTCTAGAACCTACCCCAAGGAAAAGGCTCTAAGATAGGGCCTTTGTTCCTGCTGCAGATGTGGACCTCAGCCAGCCCCGGAAGGGGAGGAAGCCCCTTGCTGGTCCCAAGGTCTCTGTACTGCCACCCAGACCCCCCACCAAGAGAAAAGCCCTAGAGGAACCTCGAGCTACCCCACCAGCAACCCTGGCCCCAAAGAGCTCCTCCAGCCCAGGTACTCAGGGAGAGGAGCTAGCCAGGGTTGCTCTCCAACTGCCTCTCAGGAGCTTCTGGGCCTCCTGCTTAGAACTGGTCACCTCTGAGCACTGGTGAGGCTCACAGCCTCTCAGCTTCTTCCTGCTCTGAAGGCTGAGCTCTTGGCTGGTGAGGCAGGCAAGTGGTTTTGATTTCATTTCCATTGAAGAAGGAAATGGCCTTGCTTGGCTTACGAACACTCAGGGCGTCAGGAAACCCTTGATCTGCCCCTACCAGGTGCTCTACCCCAACCTCACTTTATACCTTGGACCTACCAACACCACCCCAGCCCAAAAAGGCTATTGCCTTCAGGCTGCCCTCACACCCCCCTTTGCAGGCTCTCATCCAAAGACCAAGCTCCCTAAGAAGCCAGAGAGCAACTTGGAGTCACAGCGCCTCCCGCTGGGGAATGGTGAGTAAGGCCAAGAGAGCAAGGGGCTGAGTGTGTGGAGGTTGGTGGGAATCTGACCCCACTGGCCTCGCTGGATGGCCAAAGTGTTGTCAGTCACCCCACCCACACTGCCCTGAATGTGGCCTCTGAGATCTCTGCCTATTTAGTGTATCCAACCTTTAAGCTAGCCCAGAAACAGCCATGACAAAACTATTCCTGCTCCTCAGCTGGGCCCAAACTTGTTACCACCAACCCCACACCCATCCCAGCATCCCATAGACCTGTACTTTATGGTCCTAACCCTCCCACCCCCAAGATGGCCTAGGAACTCTGTGCCCTGGCACAGTGTAGATCATACATCATCTGGAGATACTTATTAACCTATTGTTGTGCTCAACTCTGCAAACGCTTGCACTCCTACAGAGTTGTTCTGTGTTTGCATATGTGCACACACTTGTGTCACACTTTCTCCAGGAATTCAGGCTATGTCAGCTTCCGTCCAGAGAGCTGTGACTGTGTCCTCTGGGGAGGTCCCAGGAACCCGAGGGGCCTTGGAAGGGATCCTTATCCAGCAGGTGTTTGAGGCAGGTAAATGCATGGAGAGCAGGCTGCCAGGGAGACCCAGCCCCTCAGGAGGTGGCTCTAGAGCAACTGTGGCCAAAGCTGAGTACAAGGGAGCCAGTGTGCCCCCCATGAAGTTTTGGGGCTTTGGGGCACAGTGATGCTGAAGGCTCCTACATGGGGAGACCTTCTACCAGGCCACTGGTCCATTGTCTATTCAGGGATAGAGTGCCCACCCACCCCCCTCAGTCGGTGCTGCTCAGTCACAGCTGACATCCTTAGACACTTTCTCCATGTGCTCCAGTCTTCTCAAGTGTCCACACTGCCCACCAAAGACAGCCCACAGCATCCTACTGCCCTTGCCTCAGGCATGGATGTCCTGTCCAGTCCCCTCATTATTTATCCAGGCTCCTTTCACAACTGCTTACCTACTGGGTAAGCTAGCAGGTCACCTTATACAGCTACCCATGTCATCTGGACCAGACAGAACCATTTGCCATTGCAGTATCTTCTCCCCAACATCTCCTCTGTCTTGGACGCTAGACTTGGATGCTACCAAAAGCCCAATGGCCTGGGAGCTGAAGCCAGCCCTGGTTTGTCCCCATCAGAGCATCCTGAATTCTCTTGTCTGACTATGCTGGGGCTACCATAGCAAAAAAAGTCCCCAGGCTTCTAACAACAGATTCCAAAGTCAAGATGTGGATGGCCAGTGACCCATCCCTCTGGAGGTTATGGAGGGTTGCTTCCCTGCCTCTAGCACCTAGTGCTGTTGTGATGCTCACTTCTGGGCTGTGGCTATGCCTTTCCAGTCTGACTGTGTGTCTCTCTGTTTTCATCTTTCCTTGTTAGAGCACTGGATTTAGAGTCTAGTACAACATCATCTTATACAATTATATCTCCAAAGCCCCTGTTTTCAATAAGGCCCTACTCTGAACTGATATATGGACACTATTTAATCTTAGTAAATTCCAGCAAAGAATTCCTTGCTGTACCCAGAACCCAGGCCTCAGACTTGGCTGTGGTTAGGGGGTGGGGAGGAATGGCAGGTTCTCCCAAATCCCTGGTGTGAGCTCAGGCCCAGTTTCCATCTCCTCCTAGGAGGCTCCAAGAAGTGCATCCAAGTTGGGGGTGAGTTTTATACTCCTAACAAGTTTGAAGACCCCAGTGGCAATGCAAAGAACAAGACCCGTGGTGGTGGCAGCCTAAAGCCGG